AGTGTTTTATGCAAGTGTCCACCACTGCTCAACTGACATATTTCTGTCAAACATATATTAAGAGAATGCAATATAAGAAATGAAAAGGATAGGTTATGCCACGGGGCGTCGTACCAGCGACCTCTCAATCCACTATGCACGGCGCTAATCACTAGGCCACAGAGCGTACATTGTCAAGACTGCTGACGGCAAGGTAATTTATACAGCATATACCGTTTGGTAGTGCTCAGAGCTCCGCTACTTCAGCGCGTTTTTGTCATCACTGGTGAGGTGGTGTGAAGGTCTCGTATTGAGTGTGCTCTAAAGGTCGTCGCCTCTAGTGTTTCGATAAGTGCCGCCACTACGAAACGTGGTGTCTCCGCTTATCAGACTCGTGTGATTTGGAAGATCACAAAGGTCTCTTCACTCGCTGCCGCCGTCACGTTTACGAAAGGAGTGCGCTGCTCACATATAATGAAGTAAGAATTGTGGCAGTTCGCGCTCATCGTGTGTATACTTGTGCGTTCGTTTCATGCGTCTTTCTCTTTGAGCAGCGTGCTTCAAGTGTCGAGTTGTGACAGTTGTTTGACTGCACTTTTCCTGCTCGTGCTCATTTCGTGCATGTTTTCTGCTTGAGCTGTGCGTTGCAAGTTTCGAGCTGCCTGCCATTATTTGCGTGAAATTGCTATTTGTTACTGCAGCATTTATTCCTTTGCCCTTATGACGAAAGAGTACACAATGAATGCTCAACTACCTCTGCAAAGACACGTTTCACTTTCGTGTTATACCAATTCCTAAAAAAAGAGATCAGCCTTGTGTGTGTGTACCTGCCAAGTCTCTCGGACTGTCCGGGAGACTCCTTGATTTCGACCGTTTCTTTCGTTTGTACAGTGGTCATGAAAATTTCCTGGAAATCAAAATTACTGTTCATGATCTGGCCGCATTGACAAAAATGCAGGTTAATCCGCTCTAGGGTTTTTGTGAACCCACCGCATTTTAATATAAACGAATTTAGGAGGTGTTCATCTAAACAAGCGGTAGAGTCTCAGTGATGTGAAACCGTAGCAGATATGAATTCGTGTAATTCCTCAGCCAAATTCCACTGTCTCTATTGGGCCAAAATTTGAATGTTCCGAACACTTTTTAGTAATCGCGGCGGGTGATATGAACTTTAGTACCGAAACCGTCGAACGAAGGCTGAGAGCAGCGTGCTCGAAGCTTCAGAAGCACGAATGTGACCAGGGCACGCACTGTCTTCTACAATGTGGGGGGGTTGTTGTTGCTACAACAACTGTGGACAAAACCGCGGTCGTGCTTGACACGAACATGTAATGGCAACGACATTATTAACAAAAGTCCAAATCTGTGCGTGTCCAACGCTCGACCAGTCAAAACAACTCTGCTGTCCGCAGATTCTGTGGACAAAACCGCAGCTATGCGATTATAGTGAAACGACTTAGTTTTGAAGGCACGTGCGCAGCCAGCGCACGTGGATTGAAAACGGAACTACTATTTGACACAACCGCCCCGCACAAAACCAGAGTCGCAGCGACGCAATAGCAATCTACGAGCTCCGAGGGCACGCGGCTAACGCAGCCGTAGACTAAAGACAGTAACGGCGTAAAGAAGGCTAGAAGCGTTTTGCTGTTCCTGTCCAAAGAATTTAGTAGCAAGCAAAGCTTTGACCCGCGCTTTCGCAGTGGCCAGCTGCCGCATCCCTGTCCGTTCACCTGTGTCCCAGGAAAACGTACGTGAGTTGTTTTCATGGAAATAGATATTGCTAATTGTTTTGATGACGCAAAATTTCGGGAAGTATTTGCGCTCCCACTTTGAGACTCTCACCTTAGTGGGAAACTCTACTTGTCGTGTGTTCAGCCACTCCAAGCCATTATAAGACCAACGCCGATGCTTGTGCTTGCGATTGGGATCCCTCCCCCCACTTTTGTTTTTTGCAATCGAACGTTTTCTTTTGTTCTCACTAGGCGCCAAAAAATATGGTGACGACACCCCCCCCCCCCCTCTTCCTTATTTTGCGGAACTCTCCCGGTTTCAAAATCTTTGAACTTCGCAGGTATAGTGTGTGCGGGTGTGTGAGTGGGGGGGGGGACATCATTTGTTGAGAGAAGAGAAAGCAATTTTTCACTGATTTATTTCTATTCTAGGCTACTTGCTGCACTATATTATTTGGCTTGCCTGTTTTCGGGAGCCTCACATAGAAATCGGTAGCGTTTTCTGACCATGTTGAAGAAGTTTTGCTGGGCATCTTTAATGCAAGTTTACTAGCATTCCCAGATATCTATTCTTATAAGCAAGCAAGGAGTAGTGATGGTCGAGAAGCAACACAAACACACTTGCTTTGGTCACACCAAGGGCAAGCACAGGAGCATACCTCAGAGCGACTGAACATCGCCCATGTCACCCTCTGGACTTGCTGGGTGGAATCAGTGGGTTCATTACTAGACTTTATGCAGGAAAAGAATTCTTTCGTGTATGTGCGATGTGCTTCGAATGGGTTTTTGTGGATTACGTTATGCCTAAGATAGGCATGTGTGAATAAGTAGTAAATTTTAAATTCAAAGGGAATTCCAATCAAATAGTGATTTGTTCAAAAAATTCAGAATTGAAATTGAGTTCTATATGTTACATACTGTTATAAAAAATTAGCATATATATATGATGACCTAGCTCACCTGCACAATATACATTTTTTTAATTGAAACAGAGCATTGTTATTGGTTCTAAGGAAAGTGGAAGCAAACTTGAATGATAGCAGAATTTGAGTCTCGGTTGGATGCTAGTGATAACCTGTTGAATACATTGTTTTAAAATTAACTATACTTGGAGCACTTAAGTCGGTATTCGCGGCGAGATCGGGCTATAAATGGCAGCACCATGCAGCGAAAGTATGGGTAGGTAGTCGGCGGCTTGTATACGCAGTGGGGCTTCGTTGTGTGCTATCTGAGCCAATTGTCAGCGAATGAAAGGCATTGACTATAGTTTGCTGTTAATATCTACTCTCTTCTCTACTGAATTGGTGCAGGACGCCTATGCAAGGTTAACATTACCCGCGAGTAAAGCACATTTCGCCTTTCAAAGGGATGTTCGCCCTGGGTGGCTCTCTTCACGCTTCCGCACTAAATCACGCCTTTTCTGTGTTGTTAGTATGTGGTTAGCTTGTGTTCCGCCTGCTACGCACTGTTGTAGCGTGACTGAACTTTACATCTTTGTCATCTGCATACTACAAAAAAGAGAAAAAGAAAAATCGTAGAAAGCCCGCATATCTGTGCGATTAGTTCAGTACCACCGTTCGCACCTTATACGCACATGATTAACTTTTTTCTCTCATTCTGTTCACCATAAAATCTGGGACAGTCAATAAGTCTAGTCGGGAAGCTTAGTGGCTGATGGCGCTTTGCGCTACGCTGCGTTTACCACGTGTACACACATGTTCTTGCACCAGTAAAAATATTATATAAGAGTTAAGCTGAAAGCTTTTATCGATGGATCATGTGCATAACAGTGCTACAACAAAGGCCTGGTTAATGGGACAAGCATGTTTCTTTTTTCTTATTTCAGACAAAAAATGACCACTGCCTTCCTTCGGTCACTAACAATGCCACAGAAACGCTAGAGACAAAAAACAAAAGAGGAAATTTTAATGAAATCATATGACATTATATGTAAGGCATGCCGTCCTGAATCAATTTTAACATTTGGGTTCTTTATAATTGTTCTTCAATCTAAGCACACGGTTGTGCATGGTAACTTTATTTAAGTACAGTTTAAGTACCGATGTGCCGCAGTTTATGTGATAGTAATATTTCTATGTAAGGTACCACGGCTAGATAAACACAATTAAGGCTGCTCGCATGATCAGTAAACTACAGTGCAATAGTTGTACACCTACCAGCAGCGCCACACATAGCCCAGAACCAGTTTTTTTTGTTTTTGTTTTTGCAACTGAGTCGCTATAAAACGTTGCATTCACACACCATTTAACACTTTTCATGTTTGCGAGTATGCCAAGAGCATTTTGCGATGTGCTCGAAACAGAAGGAGGCAGCCACTCTGAAATTATTCTGGTGAATGGAGGGTACGACAAAAATAAACAGCAGTCTGGAAAGTTGCGCTCGTCAATCTTATTACAATGCAGTAGCAGCCGAACAAGACCAAATGCTTTTGTAAATCGTCTCAGGAATACCTAGAAACAGTTACACTCGCGTTTACATGACCGGACGAACCACACGTTTAGAACGTGCATGACGTACACGCACATAGAATTAGACGTGGCTAGCAGACGACGCGCCGACACTTGGAGCAATGCACACTTCGCCACTTCGACCAGTTACCGCCAGGCGGCGACTCTGCTCGATCTCGCGGCCAATAACAAGCTTAGAAGAAGAAAGGGGAGGAAGAATTAAATAAAGGTAATAAGTTAATTTAGACCTGAAATTGCACTTTATGGCAGTGCATATTTCCCCTATGTAGATTTATTCATAGTATAAAACTCTTGCCCCGCCGCGGTGGTCTAGTGGCTAAGGTACTCGGCTGCTGACCCGCAGGGCGCGGGTTCGAATCCCGGCTGCGGCGGCTGCATTTCCGATGGAGGCGGAAATGTTGTAGGCCCGTGTGCTCAGATTTGGGTGCACGTTAAAGAACCCCAGGTGGTCTAAATTTCCGGAGCCCTCCACTACGGCGTCTCTCATAATCATATAGTGGTTTTGGGACGTTAAACCCCACATATCAATCAATCAATCATCAATAGTATAAAACTCTCCTTACTGCAGTGAAACCACCTTTACAAGGGGTTGCATGTATTTTGTGCACGTTTGTCCATTTGTTTTTAACCTTCCAAATTTGTACTAATTTAAATTCATGTTAAAATGAATTCAAATATCCTAATATTCATTCAAATATTCATAATGCTCAAATATTTGCGCCTGCCTGGCCCAGGGGGCCCTTTCGAATGGGAAAAACAAGGACTGTTTCTGAACATATTGCCGTCTTCACTTTCACTCCAGAGGTGGAATTTCACGTGGAGCCAGCCGGCTGCCTCCTCTCTCGGGTGCCAAGGTCCTCCCCAGTCTCGAACCACAAGGTGAGGCCCCTAGTTAATTAAACTCTTCTTCTCTTGGTGTGTTTGCTTGTGAATGTACTATTACTGGTGTCTCAGTGAAGGCATGTTGATAATAAATGCAGAGGAGACAGAAAACTGCCAACTGTATGACAGAAAACTCTATGAAACTCAGATGCAGAAAGGCAACTATGAACTAAAAAAAAAAATGTCCTTGTAACAAAATTGCAAAAAGAAAGAGGGAGAAAATGCGTTAGTAATGCAGGCAGCTTCTGTTGTGTGCATGTATTTACTTTCATTTTGACTTCACGAATTCCTCTAGTGTCCTCACGGAGGATACTAATCTGATTAGGGTGAGTGATCAATGCAAACATTTTTGCATTCTTCTCAGTCTTATAAAAAATCAGGCAATGCAGAGGCTGATAATGTATTTATTTGCATGATTTGGGGCAACCAAGGTAGCGCCGATGATGCTTTAGACGTGAGAGAAAAATACAATGTTTCCTCTGCCTCTCCTTCCCCTTCGGCTTCTGCATAAGCCCAACTCACATGATAGTCAAGGTTGCATTCCCCATGATTCCAGGGTTTCTGATCTGTCATGTAGACACCAGTGTATAAAAATATCTTATCTAAGATTTTGGATGCTTAAAAACCTCAGTCCACTTTTCTGGCACATTCTTTGTCTCAAACAGCATTAATTAAAGCCGACACATTCTGCCACGTAAGTTTGAACCAGTGCTTTCGGAATTGATCCCTTTGCGAATGTGGCAGAGCCCAAAAGGCAGCTTTGCCGCAAAGATATGTTGTTATGCGGTGAAGCGTAACAAAGTTACGAATTGGCATTGTAATTGCGCAGTGTGATGATGTCTTGATGGATTAGCACTGGCAGTGCAAGGAGGCGTGATAGCGGCAGGCGGCCAACTAGCTTGATCTCCGACAACCCTTCTGATAAGTGTCTTCAGCTGACTGTTCTGTAGTACGTGTGACCTAGCGCTGCGAGGCCACTTGTACTATTGAGCATACCAGTCTTATACAACTAGCTGCGCTGATGGCATGCACACGTCACAAATGCACCACGCCGCCGTTAATTCTGCCTCTTTGTGCGAGACCACTATGTACACCGCACAGACATGCTGCACTCGCAAACGCAAGCAGCTTGCCATTGCCACACCCGTGCGCTATTAAGAACGGAGGGGCAACATGAACACTTTCACGACGAATGTGTGCATAGGTACTGCAAAAGCTTAGGCAGTGGTGGGGTCAGCTTAGTTGGTAATGTGCTGCACACAACTGAAAGCAATCGGCTTCCGCGGCTGCAAGTTCTGTGTATCAGTGGAGATTCAGCAATCGTTTACGTGGGCGCATACATTGCAAAAGCCTAAGTAGTTGTCCACTCTTTCACGACAGTCTTTGTGTTCCGCATCATCATTTCCAAACATTCCATGTGAGAGAGCCGTAATCTATTCCGCCCTTTCCTGGTATCAGCAGCGCTCATCACGAGATGCAAATTAATGTAGTTACGTGGCAGGTACTGAGCGTGTTTATGAAAGCTTGGGTCACCAAAATGCTTGATAAGTCTACAGAAAAGCATTAAAGCTACTTTGGACGTAGCTGTGGCGATTTGACCACTTGAGCAGATTGGAAATGCGTGAATGCGTCTTTTTAGGCGGACCGGATATATTGGATGATTTTGCAGTCTCAAGGGAGTCTGAAAAATCAGAAGTTGACCTTCTATAAGGTTGAATAGCCTGAATAGTCAAATTCCGGTGTGAATCAAGTTCAATAGCAAACACTTTTCGAAAAATATTCGGAAATTTGAATATTTCCACACCCATAATTCTCATGTCTTGTTGTAAGACTTCACTTGTATGGTGTTGAAGTTCAAAAGAGGGGGGGCAAATGTGCAGTTGTCAGTAATGATTACAGCCTAATGAGGCAGACCGTTGTGCAACTGAAGCTTGTATAGCGTGGATAGTGGCACGTAATCGTCCATGCATAAGCGAGATCAGATCTGTATACAATATTGTATGTAGAGGCTTTAGTCATCAGCCGAACAAACTCAATTAAATGCAAGTGCACTATTGACAAAATCTTGGGGCCGAGGGAAATTTCAACTATAGGGGACTCATAGCACAATCAGTGAAGGCAGAATGGGACAACAGAATAATATCGCCAAGGATGAGTAGTGGTGTGTCTAACAGCGATCACACCAGTGGCACAAAACAGCAGGAGACGTATTGGCGAAGATTCATACGACAATCAAGGTGGCAAGGTGAGAGCACTTTGCGTGTGAAGACTACACGGAGCTAAAAGCTTGACGTATTTGCAGCGTTTCTCAATTAGCACTGGTGCTTTCACGTCGTACGCTTCAACGTCCAAAAGGTTTTCACTTGTGGGGACAGTTAGACTGAGGAGTTTCTGGTTGGGTTGGCAATGCAGTGGCGGCTCTGGGTTCTATGTCTAGTTTTTTTAGGCGAAGCATTTGGAGGAATGGGGCAATCGACCATGCAGCAGTGAGTGGGTGGATGACCCCATGGTGGCAGTGGAGCTCAGTTGGCTGAGCAGGTGCACGCCCGATGGAGGTCAGGTAGAGCATCGTGCTCTGCAGGCTGTAATTACAGCCGTGCTTAAGTGGTGTGCACATCACCTGGAGTGCTTTCACGGCTTTATTACATTGCGCACCAGGCAAGCAAAGTGAGCAGCGCCTGAAAAATGTGGACCAGTCTTGGAGCACATGACACAAATAGTAAGAAACAAATATACTTACGTTAAACCAACCCAGGATACCTGGTGCTCACCATTCGCTGTTCTGTTTGTTTGTTTCTTTTAGGTGTTTTTCTTTTTCCAGAAATATTCAGCACCTTTTATTTGTTCTTCTCTCACTCTTTGTCCTGTATTGCTAACAAAAAGGTGCACTATGGTGGGGTCTACCCTGCCAAAATCGTAGCGAGCATTGATTGATTATCCGGTGCCATTCTGTATTTCTCTGCAGCAGTCTCTAATCCTGAGGGAGAGTCCCATTCGCTACAAAGGTAAGCCATCACACTAGTTGTGCTATGCAAATCTTGGCACAAGTCTTAGCTTTAGTGAAACAGATGCCCCCTGATTTGACTTTGCTGTGCGCCTTACACTAATTATATACTTGTTATTCACTTCTATACTAGTTAAGAACTTCAACTAATGCACCCTATATGGTTTGTTCACTTCATAAAATGGGCTTCTTGATCGATTTTTCTTCACATCAATATCGTAAAGGGGGCACTTGGCTATTGCTGATTCAATGCCTTTAGGTATAGGAGGTGAGTGTTCATTAGTCGAAGTAAGTTACCTGCATGGTGAAGTAAGCTAATCATAAAATTTCATCACTATGTGTTGCCACTGGGCAAGAGTAATGTTCCACATTCGCTGCCATGGCCAAGAGTGGCGCTGGCTAACGCTTTGAGAGTTACACTTTAGGCTCGTGCGAATAATAAATTTTAGCTTCGAAATGAATCTGAAGGGGGATGATTGACTTAGTAAAGTATTTTGTATACGTCTCTCATTCATCATAGCGTCACATATATGTCACGTAATATTAAAAAAAATTGAGCGTATGTCATGACCCGACTAACCTGCACAACAACATTTTTAAAAATTGAAACAAGGCGTGGGTGAATGTCACTCTTTTTGGTTCAGAGGGAAGTAGAAGCAACTTTGAAGAGCCGCAGGATTTGACTTCCGGTAGAATGCATGTGATTGCCTGTAAAATATTTGACGTTTTAAAATTTACTATATGAAAAGCATATAAACCTCTATAAGGAGCTTTTAGACATGAAAAACGATAATCAATGTGAGGGCAAATATGAAAAAAAAAAAAAACCAGCTGTTTGTAGCATGAGGCCACAAGGAAATTCGTACGGATTTTTTAGAAAGAAAAGCCTTTTAGTTGTTGAAAAATTCATCCTGGTCTGGGGTTCAAACTCGGGACCAACGCCTTTCAAGGGTGGTCGCCACTTTCCGCCACCTTATGGGTTTCCGCAGATCTGATTTGCAATGTGAGGGTAAATATATCATTTAAATTTGAAATGTGGCTTCAGGCTGTTTGGATTTTCCCTATATAGGTGTATTCACAATACAACACTTTTTCACTGTCATTTAACCATATGGTGTAGTAGCGCAAATTCGACGGGGACGAAGAGGACAAGAAAACACGACACTCGCTACACTCGCAACTGCGAGTGTAGCGAGTGTCGTGTTTTCTTGTCCTCTTCGTCCCCGTCGAATTTGCGCTACTACACCATATGGTTAAATGATGTCTCACCAACTAGCCCAACTCTCAACCCTACTGAACTTTTTCACTGTGCTGAAACCACCTTCACAGCAAGTTACATGTGGATGGATTGCACCCATTTGTTCATTTTAGATACTTAGAAATTTATAATAATTAAAATTCAAATTGAAATAAATTCGAATACTGGTGTATATTAAAGGCTTGGATATTTGCATAAGCCTACTACACGTACATAAATACACCTAAGAAAGAAATCACCATCAACTATTCATCAATTTTTAATGCCTCATTATTTTATACTCGCAGTTAAACTCTAATGTGACAAAATGACGAAAGTCTGAAATGTACTTCGCTAGAGTGAAACTTATAATCGACTGCAACTTTTAAGAGGTGGCTGAAATTCCACTTCGAAGGTGGATACACACAAGCACTTGAAAGAAGGTCTTTTCTATATCCTGTATCTTCTATATGAGCCCTTTCTGAAGGGGATTTGATGTATGGTTTTGAGAAACATGTCAATACTGATATTTGATATTTGTGAGTCTTTTTCGTGCTAAAGCAAAAGTCATACTTAAGTGACTTTTTTGTCGCATTAGTCTTGAAGTCTTTCACAATACCTGTCTTTTTCCTCGACTAAATGCCTCTGCGGTATCAGAACCTAAAGGTAGCTATGTTGCATCAAGCTATGCATGGTGTACTAGAGAAAATATATTTCATGTTTTTTTTTTTCTCTTTCTTCTGTACGCGTTGAAACAATGTTGTAATGCTTTGTCAAGTTATCTTTTGTTTTCTTGGTTTTCTCAATTTTTCTTGATTTTTTCTCTTCTTTACGTCATCAAAAATCTAATGGTGTCCTATTATTATATTGTTGCTATTGCATGAACGAATGTAAGGCTAGGTGACATTACATGTATTAGCATTAGTTTTATTTCTTCATGCACTGCTGTACAAGCGTGTCTGTATTTTGTATATATACGTAAGAAAAAAAATGTCGGCATCTATGTGGTCTTAGTAAATCAATTCTTGCGGTCAGCTTTATGTCAGCTCTGCCCTTCAAGCCCAATGAGGCTTTGGCATGCCAATTTTCGTATCACTATGCTACTCTTTGAAAATGTTCACAAAATATTATTATTATTATTATTATTTCTATATCCAGATTGACTGAAATCTGGATACCGGTTCTGAAGCATAGTGTTTTGTTCGAGGTTAATGTTTTACTACATGGTGAATGTCCGGGGTGCCTTACGAAAAAATATGCCTGGGATCCTTTGCAAGAAACATTTTTTTAATGGGAAAAAGACAGTCATCTACGGTCCGCGCCAATATCGAAATGTCTATGGCTAACGCGATTGAGACTTTTGCTCTAGAGTGACATAGTGAGTTTAAAGACCAAGCGGTCCTACCAAAGGATAATGTGTCCAAGATTATTGCCACGTTCCATTTCTCAAGCTTTGTTATCGCCCCAATACACTACACAATTCTCAGCGCAAACTGCACTTGCAGTTTTCGAGAAGCTTCCGGACTGTAGCAGATCATTTCGATAAGATCACTCCCACTCCGCGAACTGTACAGATTATTCTGGAACACTCGTCACCGCCAGCGATAACACTAGAACATTCGATGGCAAGAGTATAAATGCCGACGCACTTCGCCGCTTGTCAGTAGTTGATCGACGGCCGACGCTCCGTTCACTGCTATCTGTGCAAGACCGCTACTGTAATCGGACTTTCCATTTACCGGGCACAGGTTCGCCCAAATAAACAGTTAAATTCCAACATAAAGTCTCCTGTCTTCGGCCACGTCACGACGCCGTGACATCTGGTGGAAGTGCTGCTTCGTTCATGTACCGGACGCCCCCGTCAAGCCGTGAACCCAGCCCACGTCGCGGAGAAGACACCGACGCCAACCAGGAGCAGGTCTACCACCGGAGTGCGGACTTCTACAAGACAAGGCGTGGAAGACCAAGGCCACTGGGACAATGACGAAAAGCTCCGTCGTGTGTTCTTCTATTTGGAAGACACCGCAAGGACCTGGCTCGAGAATTGGGAGTCCACGCTCCGAACGTGGGATGTTTTCTGCGGCACATTCCGGCAAACGTTCGCGAGCTTCGCTCGCAAAGAAAGGGCCGCTGCTTTACTAGAGACCCGGGTTCAGCTGCCAAACGAAAATGTTGCAATTTTCACAGAAGAGATGACCCGCCTATTCCGTCACGCTGACCCAGACATGATTGAGGAAAAGAAAGTTTGTTTCCTCATGCGAGGGGTCAAACGGGAGCTCTTCGCGGGGCTAATGAGGAATCCACCAAACACTGTCCAAGAATTCGTATCCGAAGCGACCACTATCGAAAAGAACCTAGACATGCGCACCAGACAATATAATCGTTGCCTGACTCCAGAATGCGCTGCTGCTCAAGCCAGTAACTTCGAAGACCTGCATGAAACAATTCTAGCGATCGTGCGAGAAGAGCTGCGCAAGCTGTTGCCTTCGACGCAGCCTAAAGTGGATTCGATCGCAGACATTGTGTGAGAAGTAGTTCGGCAATCACTTCGAATTCCCCAAGCACCGCTGCCCTAGCCGGAAGCTATGAGCTACACCGCCGCAGTGCGCCACAACGCTCCTCCCCGTCAACGCCAAAACGCCGCCCCATCGCACTTCCGTCACCAGACACCACCGCCGCCACCCCGCCCACTGACGTCCTACCATTCGCCAGCCGGCCAGCGCAGTGCGCCTAGGAAAACGGACGTTTGGCGTGCACCTGACAACCGCCCGCTCTGCTACCACTGCGGCAAGGCCGGGCACACATACCGCTGTTGCCAGTACCGACCGATGAGATTGCGTGGCTTCGCCATCAATGCACCACGTGCGCAGCCAGGGAACGGCCACGTGACATCGCTGACTACCTGACAGGAACTCAGTGGACACCACAAAGTCCTTCCCGTTCGCCGTCGCCCAATCGCCGCATGTCACCGCACCACCGGACGTACTCTGGCCCAACGCGGGGCCCGTCTCCTAGCCCGTATCCGGGAAAGTAAGGGCAGCAACCGATGGAGGTGCGGTTGCTTTGCGATGAACTACCGAAGATCCTCCAACGACGACAACGCCGCGACGGAGCTTTCCGAGCATCACGCCAACCAGGCAAACTCTTGACGTCGAAACCTCACTCACCGGGGGTGACCTGACGAGGCAACATAGAAGCAGCGGAACAAGCCGACGAAGCCGTGACCCGACGCAACGGCCTAACTGCAACGCGAGACAGGGAACTAGCTACCTCGACGTTCTTATCGACGGCCACAGTGTGACCGCTCTCGTCGATACTGGAGACGACTATTCTGTCATTAGTGGGTCGTTCGCCGCGAAGTTGTAGAAAGTTAGGACAGCTTGGGAAGGCCCCGAAATCCGCACAGCCGGAAGTCATGTCGTAACGCCAGCAGGAATCTGCACAGCGAGAGCCACCATTAACGGCCGTATTTATCCTGCAGGCTTCGTAGTCCTACAGCGTTGCTCGAGAGATGTCATCCTTGGCATGGACTTCTTATGCCTCCATGGTGCTGTCATCAACCTAAGAACAAAGTGACAACGTTATCCACAGAAGAAGCACTACTGCCGTGCACGGCGTCAGGAAACCATGCCTTGAATGTCCTGGAAGAACAAGTCACCATTCCGCCTTGCTCCAGCGTCATTATTTCAGTCGGCGCTCCTAAATCACCTGACTTGGAAGGCGTCGTTGAAGGCAGTCAGCATCTGTTGGTCACCCGAAATATATGCGTCGCAAGAGGAATTGCAGAGCTGCGGGGAGGCAAAGCAACGGTTATGCTCACGAATTTCAATAATGAGTACAAACATGTGAACAAAAAGAACGACGGTCGCATACATCGAAGAAATTGTGGAAGCCACCAGAGCTTTCACCCTCGCCGATTCTGCGGAACCTATTCAGAGGAACCAAGCCCCACCCACAGCTTTCGACGTCAATCCCAGACTTCCGAATTGTAAGCAAGAACAGCTCAAGGCTCTGCTCCTGCAATACGAAGATTGCTTTTCGTCGTCATAAAAAATTCGGCAGACCCCAATCACGAAACATCGCATCATAACTGAAGAAAATACCAGACCACTCCGTCAAGAGTCCGTACAGGGTTTCGACGCGAGAACGTGAGGCCATGAAGAGACAAATTGATGAAATGCTGCGAGATGACATCATTCAGCCGTCCATGAGTCCATGGGCGTCCCCCGTGGTGTTAGTGAAGAAAAAGGATGAGACCCTACGTTTCTGCGTCGATTATCGCCGCCTGAACAAAATCACAAGAAAGGATGTGTATCCTCTCCCACGAATAGACGACGCACTTGATCGGCTGCATAACGGCAAGTATTTTTCGTTAATAGACCTCAAGACTGGCTATTGGCAAATCGAAGTCGACGAAAGAGACCGAGAGAAGACGGCGTTGATAACACCGGACGGCCTCTTTGAGTTTAAGGTGATGCCCTTCGGTCTTTGCTCAGCGCCTGCAACTTTTCAACGCGTTATGGATATGGTACTGGCAGGATTGAAGTGGTAGACTTGCCTTGTGTACTTGGACGACGTCGTCGTGTGTTCCTCGAGTTTTGACGAGCATCTTTGGCGCCTTGAAGCTGTACTTCAAGCCATCAAGACGTCCGGACTCACGCTGAAGCTAGAAAAGTGCAGATTTGCGTACGAGGAGCTCTTATTCTTGGGGCACGGGATTTGCAAGTCTGGAGTTCATCCTGATTCACGGAAAACAGCCGCAATCGCCGAATTCCCCCCACCCACTGACAAGAAGGCGGTGCGCCGATTTCTGGGCCTGTGCGCCTACTATAGGCGGTTCGTGATAAACTTCGCCCGTATCGCCAATCCACTCACTAACCTTACCAAGGCCGACGTAGGTTTCAAGTGGGAAACGCCGCAGGAAAATGCTTTCCAGGAGCTTAAACATCGCCTCCAGACGCCTTCATTACTTGCCCATTTTGACGAATTCGCCGAGACAAAAATACACACTGACGCAAGCAGCGTAGGTTTCGGCGCCGTTCTTGTGCAGAGGGCTGACGAACTTCAAAGGGTTATTAGCTACGCCAGCCGATCGCTATCCAAAGCAGAAGCCAATTATTCCACAACAGAAAAAGAGTGCCTCGCCATCATCTGGGCTACGTCGAAATTTCGTCCCAATCTCTACAGCTGGCCCTTCAAAGTTGTCAGCTACCACCACGCCTTGTGTTGACTAGCTACCTTGAAGGACCCTTCAGGTCGCCTCACACGATGGAGCCTGAGGCTTCAAGAATATGACATTACCGTCGTTTACAAGTCCGGCAAGAAACACTCCGACGCTGACTGTCTCTCTCGTTGGCCTGTCGACCAACCACCGCCTGACGACCCGGATGACGACTACTTCTTGGGAAAGATAACTCCTGACGACTTCGCTGAACGACAGCGGGCCGACCCAGAACTTAAGGCCCTAATAGAATACTTCGAAGGCAGGACTGTCGAAGTCCCGAAGGTATTCAAGCCCGCACTGGCGTCGTTCTTCCTGCGAAACGGTCTTCTCCAAAAGAAAAACTTCTCACCGCTCCGAGCCAAGTATCTCTTGTGGTGCCTTCAGCTCTGCGGCCAGAACTCCTGCAGGCCCTGCACGACGATCCGACGGCAGTGCACCTCGATGGTTCCCGCACGCTCGCGAGGATACAAGAGAGGTACTACTGGCCACGTCTTACCACCGACATCACTCGTTATGTGAGGACATGCCGGGACTGTCAACGACGCAAGACACCACCGACAAGGCCAGCGGGACTTCTGCAACCAATTGAGCCACCTCACCGACCATTCCAGCAGATTGGTATGGACCTACTGGGGCCGTTCCCGACGTCGGCTTTTGCAAACAAGTGGACCGTGGTAGCTACCCACTACCTTACCCGCTACGCCGAGACAAAAGCCCTGCCCAAAGACAGTGCATCCGAGGTAACTAAGTTCTTTGTCGAAAATATCGTCCTATGTCACGGCGCCCCGGAGGTCCTCATCACCAACAAAGGAACGGCGTTTACTGCTGACCTAACTCAAGCAATCTTAGCATACAGCCAGACTAACCACCGCAGGACGACAGCATACCACCCGCAGACCAACAGCCTCACCGAGCGGCTAAACAAGGCGATCGTCGACATGCTAGCAATGTACGTCGATGTCGAACACAAGACGTGGGACGCCATTCTTCCGTACGTGACCTTCGCATACAACACGGCGGTGCAGGAGACGACGCAGATATCTCCATACAAATTGGTCTACGGAAGGAGCCCGGCAACGACGCTTGATGCCATGTTACCCAACATCACCGATGTAGAAAACCTCGATCTGAGTGAGTACCTTCAACACGCCGAAGAAGCCCGACAACTCGCGCGTCTCCGTATCATGAATCAACAGACGACCGACAGCCGCCGTTACAATCTTCGACGACGCTTCGTGAAATACCAGCCCGGTGAACATGTTTGGGTGTGGACGCCAATACGCCGACGTGGACTCAGTGAAAAGGTTCTGCGACGGTACTTCAGACTGTACAGGGTGGTTCGACGTCTGGGCCCACTTGATTACGAGGTTGTCCCCGACGGCATCACGAACTCTCAACGACGCCGATCGCGACATGAAGTCGTCCATGTCGCACGCCTCAAATCGTTTCATGCGCGTTAACAAACTGAAACAGTGTTGTTTGTATTATTATTGTATCGTAATTTATTCATTGTACTTTCTTGCATTATTGTTGTACCTGCATCTTTAGTTAAAGCATCGGGACGATGCCTTTTTCGGAGGGGGGCAACGCCACGTTCTTTTTCCCAAGTTTTGTTATGGCCCCAAAACAATTCACAAGTCTCAGCGCAAAACGCGCGTGTAGTTTTCGAGAAGCTTCTGGACTTTAGTAGATCATTTCGATAAGATCACTCCCACTCCGCGAACTGTACAGATTATTCTAGAACACTCGTCACCGCCAGCGATAATGCTAGAACATTCGATGGCAAGAGTATAAATGCCGACGCACTTCGCCGTTTGTCAGTAGTTGATCGACGGCCAACGCTCCGTTCACTGCTATCTGTTCAAGACCGCTACTGTAATCGGACTTTCCGTTTACCGGGCACAGGTTTGCTTAAATAAACAGTTAAATTCCAACATAAAGTCTCCTGTCTTCGGCCACATCACGACCCCGTGACAATATCATAGGGGCTATTTCTTTAAGTGGCACTACGTAAAGGTTAGCCCTCTAGCTCTAAGGGGTTTACTTTGCTGTCTCTGGTTTTAATGTCTGCTGCTGTTGAAGTTCATTAAGCTGCTAAATTTAGCTCTTGCTTTAATGAGCGTCAAATATTGGACCGCAGGGCTCAGCATTTTAGCCGGTGTTAGTCTGTTTAAATACAGTGGGGTTACAATATGCAAGCTGTGCTCTGTTTCAACACGATTTGTGCTTGATCCCAACATGCCTTCACAACTGCTGAGGTGATAGTTTGTGTGTGTGTGCAGTACGGCCTCTCGGAAGACCAATCACAGTGGATCAGAGGAAAGTGTCGAGGAAGAGCTCTCCCGCATCGACGACAGCAGCCTGTCCACCACGGTGAGGAACGAGTGCGATGAGAGGCGAGACGGCTCTTGACGAATGTTCTCAGCTTGTGTGAATAGTAAATTTTAGGTTCGAAGCAAGTCTGAAGTGAATATAGATTTGGTTGAATATGTTTTAATCAAATTTGAATAGTATAGATTGCAAATTTAAAGAAAATGCTCATATTTGTCATGACCCTACTAATCTGTACAATATAGTATATATTTTTTTACTATTGATACAAGGCATGTGCAAATGTCATCCTTTTTGGTTCAGAAAAGGTGGAAGCAATTTTGAATGGTAGCCGGATTTTACTTTTTGTAGAATGCAGGTGATGACTTGTAAAATATGATACATTCAATCATGACGCGCTGACTTATCGAGAAGCATGCGACATGCTGTCTGTGCGTCGCCGCTCTGTTGCAGTAAAGCACATCTTGTTTTCCTCAGGCTCGCATTCAGTGGATCGCGTGATCGTCCCTTTTTTTTTTTTCGAGCTGGAAGTATCAAGGTTAGCATCCTTCAGCTGCCACTCATGTCACGCGATTTTGCGGCGAAACAGGGATCGGGAATTGGCACGCTGCACCCAAAGTTTTGGAATTAACTGGACTGTTGCTAACCGCTGCTTCAGATTATTCGCTCAAACTTGCATTGCAAAATAGAAGATTTCGGAAATACTTAGAATTAAGTGGGATTTTGAAATAACTGAGTTTGAAACAATGAGGTTATACTGTGCATGAAATAAAAGTGCTGCTTGTACGAGTTACAGAAAAGCAGAAAACACTCTGCACTGAGCACTAGGTCACTGGCATGCTTGGAATGGTGATGAAATGAATCAGGGACTGCGAACATTACTGTACGATCAGATAATACTTTCTATTTTTGAGACAAAGTCTGACAATGAATTTGCATTAGAAATTGAGGAATCTAGACATTTCCACACTCTGACAGAGCGTCGAAAGTATGAGTGCTTGAAATTGCCATTGTGGTAAAAATACTCTTTACTTATTGGCAGTTCTGCGACAGCTTGGGTGGTTCATTTTTCCCAGACACTCGTCAATAATTAAGCGCGATAAATGAATGCTGAGTCAAAACAGAAACCGAAACAGGGAGCTGCTCCATCCTCCATGTTGGGTATTGGATGACGTCATGAAATCTGTATCAGACGACGTAGCGAAATCCGCTACACACCGCCACGGCTGGCTGCAGGGTGTAAACATAGTTCACGTGCCTCTTCTGATGTGCAAAAAGCTAGTTGGTGATGTCATCCGACGCGGAATCGAGCTGTGCCAGCTCGTCTGAACTTACCAGTGACAAGTTCAGCCATGGTTGCAGCTACTATCTCATTGTGGAAACATCGCTTTCTAATTTTGACCCGCCGGCGCATGAAGCATCTCACATGCTCCTAATCGATATTCTGGTTACTCAATATTAAAAGACTCAACGTAAATGACGACTAACGCGCTGTTGCAGCCGACAAAACTGAACTGTGCTTACGTTGTCGTCGCCTCGTTGAAGAAAGCACGTGCTGCAACCGTCTACTGGGCAAGGCAGGGTTTTAAAAAAGAGTATGCACTTGCGTCACATACACAGGGTGGCCCACTTTTACAAGTGTGATTCTAGAATTAGCTACCAGTTTTTAAAATTGCTTTTCTAAACAACTAAATGACTTACGGTTGTATAATTTGGCACATACCATCACGGTACAGACGAGCACACATTTTCAAAGCTTTATTGAAATCAATGAATTATGAAAAATCGCCGGAGTTTCCGTTAAAGGGCTAAAATAACTTATGCCTCCTCTACCCTTATTTTAGCTCACGGTTGCCTGGTAATTTGGATTCAAAATCACGGTTTAGCAGTCACATTCAATTGAATTTCTGGAAGCATCATTTGACTTGCCTATCATGCTTTGATGTCACTATTCAAGTGACCTATTATTGGAGGAACTGTCTCCCCCCCCCCTTCCACTCTCACTTCGCGAGTGAAGAGTGTACCTTCTCTTGGGTGCTTTGATTGATTAACTGAGGACTTCATTCTTTTCCCGCAATGGAATTTAAAATGTAGGCATGTGCGGACGTGATCCATGTTTGCAACCAAACTAACCTTGTGGATGATATTGTGAGAACGCCAAAGAAACGTGATCACAGGTGAAGCAAGGCACAGCTGTCGACATACTGCAAAGTCTTATTTGAATGGGTGCATACATAATAATTTTGAGATTTCCGAAAGCTTTTTGCTATTCCAGTTATTGCATAATAAATGAGCAAAAAATAGTAGTTGTCTCTAGGTTTGTTATGTTAAAACTTCATATCGTGGCACTTTTAAGTTCCACTTTTGTGCATCACATAAAGAGCTACATGTGAATTCGCAGGCCGATGATCGCACAGTCGACTTGACGGTCTCCCGGGCGAGTGACGTGGAAGGCTGCGACTACGCTGAGCCAGCCCACTGATCGTACTGCTTAGAGATGTGCATGAGCCGCAGTCTCGCGACCCCTCCCGGCCCGGGCTCGATGCTTGCTATAGGTGGGCCAGCCTGGCTCCATGATGTATAGAGGACGGGCCGCCCAGGCGGCTCATACCCAAGGCCCGGCTCGACCTGGCCCGATTCAATGAACGACACAATAAAGCACGTGGCAACAGAAAAGTGAAAATGCATTTATTAAGAAAAAGCATGCCGTCCATCCCTGTAGCTTCCTTTTCTTTTTTTCAATTATTGATAGAAGTCGAGACTTAGTGCAGAACCATTCACAAATTATCATGCAGAAACAAAAGATTGTCTATCTATTCGGGCTTCAATCGAGTGCGTCGTTCTTGCATCAGGTATCCTGCAGCAATGAAGTAGCGCTCGCTGCTGGTGCTTGTTGCTGGAATCGCCAAGATATTTCTTCCAAGTTTGGCAAGTTTCAGATATTTATTTTTTTTCCCTTTCCTAAACTGATGAAATTTTGATTCGGAGCACGCGCTTAGTGACTCAGTTCGCAAGTACTCGCTAACATCATCCCGGTTTCTCTCAAAAGAAAGCACACAACAATGCAAACACCAGCACATCATCTATATTTTTGGCTTGATTTGGGCTTTTCATCTTTGGCCCGGGCTCGAGGTGAAAAAACGTCAGGCTGCCCGAGCCCGTGCACATCTCTAGTACTGGTGTCGGCCAGCTAGACAGCAGTGTTTGGTGCTCACTGGTTGCATTGAAGTTTTACGCCTTGTTTTCATAGGGAGCTGCACACCCTGCATTGTGTTCGAAAAGATGTTTCAAAGGTTTACACTTCACCCATTTGTTCACTTGTGTTTACATCGTTTGTAGAAGCTGCTGCTGATTAAATAGTTTCAGCTTGTTGCACAAAAGTGTTGTGTCCCACAACATTCAATAGGATGCGGGGATGGGGTCACTGCATGTGATCATGCCATCTGCTGAGTACTTATTTGGAGTGTCGTTTGATTCACATGCCACTGATGACATTTCTGCCACTAGTGGCACTGCTTGCTAGCAGTGAATCTGCCGTACTGTCTCTATAGAACTGTGCTATGCAGCATCTCGGCGCTATACGTGTGGATGAACACATTAATAAAGTGAGCCTGTGATTTAGCCTGTCTGGTATTTCGGTACTTGTGTATAGCAGCACTTGCGTCATACCAGGGCTACCAGATGCCATAAGCAGCGTCCTGTAGCTTTGTTTGATCACAATTATCCACAAGCTGCTGTACTAGATGGATATTTTAAAAGCAGACAGACTCATGTTAGAGTAGCTGCAAGAACTGGTACGAGCAGCCTCGCCACGGTGGTCTAGTGGCTAAGGTACTCGGCTGCTGACCCGCAAATCGCGGGTTCGATTCCCGGCTGCGGCGGCTGCATTTCCGATGGAGGCGGAAATGTTGTAGGCCCGTGTACTCAGATTTGGGTGCACGTTAAAGAACCCCAGGTGGTCAAAATTTCCGGAGCCCTCCACTACGGCGTCTCTCATAATCAAATGGTGGTTTTGGGACGTTAAATCCCACAAATCAATCAATCAACTGGTACGAGCAGCATAGTAACATAAATATTGTTGGATGCAACAATGATGGCTGTGTTTGCCTGTTGTAGCTCTGGTGATGCTACCATCACTGCCTGACATGTCTTTCGTAACTGTGATTTTCTAGCACCAAAGGACATGCTAATAAACTAAACACTGTGCTTCCCAACTGGTACGCTATGCTGCTGGTGGAGTGAACAGCTCAGAGGCATTTTTTCTGTACAAGCCCCAGGATATGTCACAAGTGGCATATCAGTACATGTACAGAATTCATGCATTTGGTGAGTAACTTGAGAGGACTAGTTGCTCAGTGTTTAAATGCACAGATCCAAGCACAATAGCAAAATGTGCTGCATTGGCATTTAGGAAGAACTCAATGGTGCGGTACCCAATCTTCGCTGATGGATCGGTGATTCCTGTTGTCATGCACCACCGACATTTAGGGGTCATCATTGACCGCAACCTATCTTGGGCAAAATATGTGCATGTGCTATGGAATAAAGTAGTTCGGTTGTTTTGTACATGTTCTTCGTGTTATAGCAGGACTGAGATGGGGCCCCTCAGAGGAAAGTCTTTTGCAGTTGTACGAAGCATTGTTTATGAGCTATTTACGGTACAGCTCGCCTGTACTTTCCAGAATGCGTGCAACGTGCCTTCATACTTTGGAGAGCCTTCAGGCAAGAGCACTGAGAGCATGCCTAGGCCTGCCACCGTGCACATCAACCTCTGGCACTATAGATGAGTCCCACACCTACCCTATACAGATTTACACGTCTTGTAAGCCTCTTAGTGCACCTTTGACTGCTGACCTGACATGCACAGCACCTATTATCTTCGCTACAAGCAAACTGACCAGGCTGTACCTATTCGCAATGCTTTGATACGCATAGACATACGATCCCTTCTGACTTCGCACCTGCCGTAATCTCCAGAGTGCCTCCATGGACATTGACTAAACCACTTGTGTGCTTTCACATACGTGTAATTTCAAATAAGTCATGCATTTCTTATATTGCCCTCAAGCAACTCACCTTAGCACATTTGGCTGACCGATGCAGCGAGTCTGAGCACATCTACACCGATGGATCCGTAAGTTCGTCTGCCTCAGCTGCGGCCTTCATGATCCCTCAACTCGATATTTCCTGGCAGTACAATTTAGATCACAGGTCATCTTCGACAGCCGAAAAACTTGTTGTTGTACAGCAACCTATACAATTAGTCAATAGTCAAGTGCCGCGTAAGCGGTCGATACTGTCTGATACAAAATCAGCTCTTCAAGCTGTCAACTCTTGGTTAAGAAAAGGCCAACATTACACATTAGTGTTAGGAATCGTCCAAGCATTTGACTTAACCCACAAAAGTGGTCACTTGATTATATTCGAATGGATTACTGGGCTCTGTGGCTTGGTCAGCAACTAACTGATAGTGAAGCGGGTGATGCAGGCGAAGTGACATCAACACATTGTTAAGATCGCTTATGCACGGCCACTTATTGGTCGCAACCAGGTCATCGGAACAAGCCTATGCGGGAAACGCCCTGATATTCTTTTCATTTTCCGGCTAAAATCAGCCGTAGTAGACATACTGTGGGCTGCACCGAAATAGCCTAGGTGTTGCGTTCACTCGACACTGTGCCCAGCTAATCGGCCGTGCTGACAGCCCGAACTGTGAGCACTGCCAAGAGCGGGAAACATTAGCCCATATATATTTTGGGACTGGCCATTTTATGTTAATCAAAGGAAGGTGCTAACTTCAATGTTGTCAGGCATCAGACGAACACCACTTAGTGAAAGTTGCATTTTGTCAGAAGTGTGCGGCTAAATATTGTCAAAAACTGCTACAAGGGCTGTCCTAGATTTTATAAAACACACTGGACTGGATACTAAGCTGAAGGGTACTATGCTAAGTGGCTACAGTACATATGCACCACCTCTACCTGTCCCCATCATCACTCTTCATTCCTCTTTTTTTCCCCCTTCCCTGTGTAGAGTAGCAGGCTAGGGTGCACTAGCTTAGGCTGATCTCTCAGCCTTCTCACAAATTATTTGTCTCTCTCAACCTGTCTTTCTTGAAGTTTTCACACACAGCGCCATGTAGCATATGGCACATATACTCATGAAATCCTTCCTGGCTTCTGTTATGGCAGATTATTCAAAAGTATCTGAAGAACTTCAGAATTATCGACAGTGATAATCCATGCAATCGTCATCACCTTGATGTCAGACTTCGCCTCCTCGTGAAAGAAGCCTGGGGCATTCGAGGTACAAATTTTTTCTTATCTGTGAACAGCACAAAAGTATGCAAACGTGCATCTCCTGCTTTGATGGAAAAAGGCACCTCGCCATGTTCAGAGCTACCGGCCATCTGTGAACTGACATCTTCCTCGAGATACTGATCTGCGGTCTCTCTTGGGCAGCTGAAATAGTGCATATTACATTTCACGAACTGTCATCCCTATCAGCCATTGGGCAACAATTTTGAAGCCTGCACACTAGTTCCTTTGAAGTACCATTGCAGTTCTTGTAAGAAACGAAAGAGGCAGGTGTTGTTGATACATACTTAGTAGGCTTGTGCAAATATTTGAATGAATATGAATGTACTCAAATTCACTTTGATTTGAAATTATCAGAAATTTCAAAGTATTCAAAATGAATGCATGAATGTAGAGAATTAGTCTGCCTGTGGCCCCTTGTAAAGATGGTTTCACTGTAGTGGACTGTTGTTGCACCGTGAATCTTTCCGGAAAAAACGCACACCGCTGCAAAACCCCACTTCAAGATTAAATGAACAAATTACCCTCGCATCGATTCGTTTTTCTTAAGTGTAAAAGCTTCTTATACCGGCTTATATGCTCCAGGTATAGTAAATTCTAAAAAAACTTACTTTACAGGTTTTCCTATAGCATTCTCCCTAAAGTAAAATCCTGCTACTATTGCAAGTTGCTTCCACTTTCTTTTAAACCAAAGCAAATGATGTTAGAACATTCTTTGTATCAATCTAAAAATATATTGTGCTGGTTGGTGAGGTTATAACAAATATGCTCACTTTTCCTTATATATTATATGTACTATTCGAACTCGATTCGAAATTATTCGAACCAAATCACTATTCGCTTGGAACTATTTGCAGAAGCCTAGTTATTTTATACCTCTTTCACTCTCTGGGCTGTCCTTTTGCAATTTTGCAGATGCCATTTCCTATGCTATTTATTTTTGCACACCATCAAGGGTCTGATGTGCTCTTCGTGTATTATGATTGAGATCTTGGTCAGCTGTAAGTGTAATCAAGCGAATTGAGCTCTATTTTCGGGAATTTGTGCTGTGTTAAAAAGCAAAGAAAGTGGATACTAGCAGAAGTGGCATTCAAATGGCAGACATCACATCCACACTAGTCCTGTGTATGTATAGGAGGGTTGCAAGTGATGTCATTTGCTTGGGCTTCTAGCGGCATCTACGATTATCTCTGTGGTTCGTGGCGGAGTAAGTGTTCTCTGGTGGCGCCATTCATCGGTTCTGTCGAAATGACGAACGGTGACGAGAGGCTGTATGTGTGACAGTGAACATGACACTGCTGTGTGTACAACAGAATGTGGTTGATTGCCTACGTGAAAACCATAAAAGATAGATGCGCTGCTGTTC